CAAGTTGATACAAGAGACTAAATGGGCAGCTTCTGTCCAGAGGTGAGATGGGAAGGCAGAGAGGGTTAGGAGCTGGTTGAATGGACATGGGGAATCAGGTGGAAAGGAAGAGTGTGCTGTCACAGTATGAGGCGAGCAATTAGAGTCACATAACAATGTATGTATAAATTTTTATATGGGGAAAAAAAAATCCTCTTCTCAGAGCAGGGAGATTGAAGAAGAGGAGGGAAGGGTGTGGGGCATTAGGTGGAGCAGGCCACCGACCAGGGCTGCGGGGCTTTGCTCACCTGGCATATTGTTCACCAGGCTTCTAGTATCCATCTTCCCAGTCCTGTGAACCCAGGCTCCACGCTCACGAACCGTGTCGCTCTGAACTCGTTTCCTAGCCTCTTGGAGCACGATTTCCCTGCCTAACAGGGTTGTGGTAAAAAATAAATAAATCCCATTTACATTATTCATTTTTATGCAGGGCAAAGCCAAACGTAGAGCCTCCTGTTATGGATTGAATGTGTCCCCCCCACAATATATATTGGCATCCTAACCCCTGTACCTGTGGATGAGATGGCTCTCGGTGTTGTTGGAACTGGTGCTGAAACGCTCTTCTCTGACCACTGTGGTTTTCTGAGAGAACTTTGGGGCTGAGCAGGACTTTGAGCACAGCCATGGCTCCCAGGCAGTCGTGAGCCGGTGTGGGCCTGCGGGGAAGTTTTGGTCAGCAGAAGGTAGAGAGAGTCCTCCAGAACTCTGGGTAGGGGGAGCACAGGATCTGATTTGTGGTTTTGAAAGGTCCCCATGAGGGTCTCGAGGAGGTGGGTGCCGGGGGGAGGCAGTGAGGTGACTGGTCCCATCGTCCAAGAACTGGCAACAAGGCCAAGTGGTGCGGAGGAATGGGGGCTGCATTGTGACCCGGTGGTGCTGGGGCCTGCAGGGGCCTCTCCCCTCCCACAGCTTCCGCTGCCAGGGCTGGGCCCACTTGTGGAAATTGGGTACACCGTTGCCTCCTCCACCAGACTAGCATCTCTTTCGAGGGCAAGGCCTGGGTCTGATCCATCTGAGTAACCCCAGGCTTCTAGTAAATGTTGGGTAAATGAATTAGTGGGTCTGGTGAAGGGATCAGGGAAGACCTTACAGAAGAGTCAGGCTTTGAAGAACGTAGGGGATTTCACCCGCGGATGGAGGGGGCACGGCCGCGTGGTCAGACGGAACAGCTTGAACAAAGGCCCAGAGGCAGGAACCATGGGTTCAGAGAAACCACAGCTGCCTGCCCTGGCTGGAGGCCTGGGTGGGGAGTGAGGAGCGGAGTGAGAGGCTCGTTTCACCCCAGGGAAGCAGAGGACTAGAGAGACGGACGGAGAGGCCTGTTCAGCCCAGGGCAGGCACCAGGGCTGCCTCTGCCTGTCTCCTGTGTTAGAAATGGGATCATTGCAGGCGTATTGATCCCAGGAAACACTTGCTGATTTTTTTGCAAGAGGGGAGAGTGGTGTCAGGTGACAAGTATTCCCACTGTGTTGGGTTGCTGCTCTGTACCAGGCACCCTGCATGTGGCATCTCCTGAATCTCCACAACAGCCCCATGTGGCAGGGACTACCATTGGCCCCATTCTCCCCTTAAGGCAACGGAGGCCCAGAGGGGCTAAGGGACTCATCCAAAGTCTCACAGTTAGTAATAACGAATGCTGGGATTCGAACCCAGGTCTGAATCCAGAGCCTGACTCGAGGCGCCGTGCAGGGCGAGCAGTGTGTATGGGCCTGTGTAAGTGGCTCCTAAATGCAAAGACTGATTATCTGCTGGACAGAAAGCTTCCCAGGGCAGAGGCTGTGTCAGGATCAGCTCTGGTATCCCCAAACTCGGGCATCGTGTTGAATTGAATGGCGAGCGCAGTGTTGGGCATGGGGCGTGCCCGGGAGAAGGAAGCCAGGGCTGGGATGAGGCCCCAGGTTGGCTTTGCGTCTTGGCTGGGGGCCATTGTGCTCGCTGTGGCCATCTGCCTGCCACTCTTCCCCATGGCCTGTGGCTATGGGTCATCAGAGGTGTCCCAGGTGAGCTGGACATTGTGCCAGCTCAGCCCTGCCTGCACCTGGGCAGTGTTCCCTGGGCAGCCAGGTACTGGTCTGGGGGTCTGAAGACTCAGCTGTGGCTTCCTCCCTTGCTGGGAAGAACAAGCAGGAAGGGAAAGATGCAGATTAGCTGAGCTCCTTGCTCCACATCTACCTCCTTGAAGCCTCACAGCCACCTGCCAGGTAGGAGTTATCAGCCTATCAGTTTACAGTGAGGAAGTGGAGGGACAAAGAAGCCGAGTGGCCTGACTGGGGCGAGTGGCCTGCACTGGGCCACCAGCTTCTCACAGCTCACTGCACAGTTAGGCACGTGGCCTTTCGTTTGACAGAGCCAGGCTCAGTCCCACTCACTAGTCAGGTGACCTTGGAAAAGATCCTTCACTTCACGCCTCACTTTCCTCATCTGTAAAATGGGGTTAGTGATCCCTGCCCACTTACCATGCAGGGTTGTTAGGAGAAGGCGGTTGAGTGCAGATGGAAACAACAGACAAGAGAGTAAAGCCTTTTTAGAAAGTACTATTTTCACACACTTGCTCCCTCCCCAAAGTAGTTGGGTGTTGTTCCTTTTCACATCTTGGCATCAGCTAAGACGAGAGGATCCACTTCCTGTGCCCCTGTTGGTGTGTCTTGTCCCAGGCCCTGGGCTGGAGGCTGTGTCCAGAGATACAAGACGGGAGTGCCGCCTCTGAAGTCAGGGCGAGTGGGGCTGTCAGCCTTTTCCTGGCCTTGCTCACAGTCTCCACACAGTAATCATATGATGGAGGAGTGAGGGCCACGGTGAGTAGCCTGGACAGGAAGTGCTGGCGGGAGTCTGGTCAGGTTCTGGCCCTGGGGAAGGCCTGCCTTCTCTGGGCCTCCACTGGGTTGTACAAGCTGACCTACAACGGCTTTCCCACCCGCATGTGGTGGGGTGAGGGGAAGGCAGGGGCGCTGAGTTCCCATCCCTGGGGGGTTGCCCAAACCTCCTCTCGCCTTAAGCCCATACCTTAGTTTTTACCCCCTTCGTCTCTCGAGCAGGCCCCCTGCACGCTATGGTGCCTTCCCCTCGCTGTGCACTTTTGGGCTAGCCACTCAGCCTCACTGAGCCTCAGTTTTCCTTGTCTGTAACGTGGGCGGTAACCTCACATGGCTGTGATGTGCTCCATGAGGTGGCATGTATGGCATGCCCAGCCCCAGCCTTGTTTGCAAGAGGCCAGCTTTGGATGCAGGACAGCTGTGTGGTGGGGCCGCTGGCGGGCACCAAAGGAACAGTGACCCGGGTTTGAATCCTGTCTCAACCACGCACCGGCTCACAACTGGGACTCCCTGAGCCTCAGTTTCCTCATCAGTAAAGTGGGGACAAAAACAACACCTGCCCCGTGGCGCTGTTGAAAGAATCCTGCAGATCCTCGTACAAAGTGCAGGTGCTGGTGTTACAGGTGCCTGTGACCCTCACCTTCCATTTTCTGAGCCTCTTCTCCCTGGCAGCAGCACAGACTGCGGAGTTTGATGACAAAACAGTTTCTCCTTGAACTTGAGGGTGTCCCATGTAGTATTGCAGCTCAAGCCACATGTAGGAAAGGGCAGCGGTCTCCATGTGGCCCTAGAACGCACCAAACAAACTTGGAGTGAGGGTGGCACACGGCCGTGGCCTGATTCAGGTCCCTGCAGACCCCGAGGTGGATCACTGCCCTCAGAGCCCTGCTGCCTGTGAAGTGGGGATGAGTGGGGAGTGGGGGCAGATGGTGGCCTGGCTCCTGCTGACCGATTGACTGTGTTCTTTCCCCAGAGACTGATGGAGAGGCAGAAACGGAAGGCGGACATCGAGAAGGGGCTGCAGTTCATTCAGTAAGTGCCGGCTGGACCGCACGCTGGCTCTACCCTCTCTCGTGTTGCTGAGGCTTTGCCATCAGGCTTCTGTGCTGTCGGGGAGTCAGGGGTGGCATGAGCTAGGGAGGGGCCGGAATAGCAGGGGCCAGGGTGTGGATCCAGTTGTGAGTCATGAACCCCGCACTTCTTGTCCCTGGACCCTGCTTACCCTTTGGTCTTGTCCAGCACATCATTTTACCCTCACCCTCCACACATGTACCGACACTCCCTGCTTGTTGTCTTGCTTGCCTGCACACATCGTATAATGAATCAGTGCCAGTTACCAGTTGCCGTCAAGTTGATTCTGACTCAAGGGGGCCCCATTTGTATCAGAGCAGAACTGTGCTCCATAGGGTTTCCAATGGCTGTATCTTTGGAAGTAGATCGCCAGGCCTTTTTTCTGAGGCACCTCTGGGTGGACTTAAACTGCAGATGAGAAAACTGAGGCTCAGAGAGATTAAGAAACTTGTTTAAGGTCACACAGCTGTTGAGCGACAAGATTCAAACCCAGATCTGGTTGACTCCAAAACCTTTGTTTCTTTCCATTATGTGCGCCCACTCACACCCAGCACCCACAGGCCGTGCTTGTTAGTTCTTTGGTTTTTTTCTTTACGTACAGGATGATTTTACTACCCTTTATTTCTTTTTTTTGTTTATTGTTGTAGTTTCAGTGAAAGTTTACATTTCAAGATGGTTTCTCATACAAAAATTTATACATACATTGTTATGTGACCCTAATTGCTCTCCCTATACTGTGACAGCACTCTCCTCCTTTCCACCCGATTCCCCATGTCCATTCAACCAGCTCCTAACCCTCTCTGCCTTCCCATCTCACCTCCGGACAGAAGCTGCCCGTTTAGTCTCATGTATCTACTTGAGCTAAGAGACACACTCTTCACAAGTATCATTGTATGTCTTATAGTCCAGTCCAATCTGTCTGAAGAGCTGGCCTCGGGAATTGTTTTAGTTCTGGGCTGACAGAGAGTCCGGGGGCCATGCCTTCCGGGGTTCCTCCAGTCTCAGACCATTAAGTCTGGTCTTTTTACGTTAATTTGAGTTCTGTACTCCACATTTCTTTTGCCACCTTTTATTTCTTAAGTAGACCCTTTGAGACATTTATCATGATGCCAACGAAGCGAAGTATAAGCTTCGGGGCCCTTCACTTGCATGAATTCTTTTTGAGACCCTGAAAGGCACCCCAGAAATTCTGTGTTCATGATATTGTATTCTTTTTCTTAAACAGGACTTCCCAAAAAACTGGGATTTACCTCTACCTACCCTTTAGACGTACACACTCCCCAGTTTTGTTCTCTCACACAGACCCGTCAAACACTCCCGACTTTCCTCATCCATACGTTGTCTCCCCAAGTTGTCACCCCAAACCTGATTCCTTTTCACACACCCTCAGGATCTGCATTGCTCTCACAGAGTCTGTTGTATTCACAGGACACACACTGTTTCCCTCCTCAACTCACAGCACGGGCAGTTTTCCTGGCTACCTCCTAAGGGTGCTCACAGCCGGGCTAATTCTGGTAGGGAGTTTTGAGAGCGCCTGGAGCTTAGCCCCGTGTTTGTTGCTCCGTCTTCCTCCGCCCCAGGCTGTTCTCTAATCCAGCCCTCTGCCGTTGCCCCCACCAGTTCTCCAGTCTTCCTCAGCCTTGGTCAGCTGAGCTGTGGCCCACTCTTTGCGTGTCCTCACCGGTGACAAGTACTGATTTTTGGAAAGGTCACAAATTTTATTCAGAGAGCAGTCAGGTGAACAAGGCCACCCTTGTGAAATGTTTTTTGTAAGAATTCTGTGTCTTTAACTTAAGTCCCCGATTTCTGTGGAGCTGGACCTCTGAACCCTGTGGGCCTGGATCTGCATCTTGATTTTCCCACTTCCCTGTGAGCTGGAGAAAGTGCCACCTCCCTCACTGGGTCCTTTTGATAGCTCGAGGGGCTTTTCCCAAGGGGAATTCTGAGAAGGTTTAGAAACAGGGCAGCCTCCTGGGAACCCATATGTGGGCCTCCTTAGGGACCACTTTGCAAAACACAACAGTGGGACCTGCTCCTTTTTTTAAACATTGACTTCTATTGAGGTATAATTGACATCAGTGAAATGCACACATTTTAAGTGTTACAGTTGGTAATTTTTTAGTTTATTAATATATGTTTTTAAAATTAATATCTTATTGTGTTTAAGGTGAAGGTTTACACAGCACATTAGGTTCCCATTTAACAATTTCTATACAAATTACTCAGTGATATGGGTTATACTTTTCACAATGTGTCATCAATCTCATTCATTCGGTTCTGGTTGTGCCATTTCCAGTCTCTGGTTTCCCTGCCCCCTTACCTTCTCATCTTTGCTTTGGAGTCATTTTTGACCATTTGATCTCCTATAGATGATTTTTCTTAAAGAAGCATGGTGCTCACAGGTAATATTCTTAATTTAATGAGTCAGTCTGTCATTTAGCTGAAAGGTGACCTTAAGGGATAATTTTGGTGTAAGGTTTAAAGCATATCTCAGGCTAATAGTCTCAGGGAGACCTCTAGTCCCAACCAGTCCAGTAAGTCTGGACTTTGTTTTGTTTATTGTTGTAGTTTAAGTGAAAGTTTACATTTCAAGATGGTCTCTTACACAAAAATTTATGCATACATTGTTATGTGACCCTAATTGCTTTCCGTATACTGTGGCAGCACACTCCTCCTTTCCACCCCTGATTTCCCATGTCCATTCAACCAGCTCCTGACTCTCTCTGCCTTCTTATCTCGCCTCTGGACAGAAGCTGCCCATTTAGTCTCATGTATGTATCTACTTGAACTAAGAAGCACACTCTTCACGAGTATCATTTTATGTCCCACAATCCAGTCCAGTCCAGTCTTTTTCTGAACAGTTGACCTTGGAAATTGTTTTAGTTCTGGGCTGATAGAGAGTCCAGGGGCCATGCTTTCTGGGGTTCCTGTGGTCTCAGTCAGACCATTAAGTCTGATCTTTTTACTAGAATTTGAGTTCTGCACCCCACCTTTCTCCTGCTCCATCAGGGACTCTCTGTTGTGTTCCCTGTCAGGCTGGTCATTAGTGGTAGCCAGGCACCATCTAGTTCTTCTTGTCTCAGGCTTATGAAGTCTATGGTTTATGTGGCCCTTTCTGTCTCTTAGGTTAATACTTCCCTTGTGTCTTTGGTGTTCTGCATTCTCCTTTACTCCAGGTGGTTGGGACCAGTTGATGCATCTTAGATGGCTGCTTGCAAGCTTTTAAAACCCTGAGTCTGGACTTTTTAAGAATTTGAGTTCTGTTCCACATTCTCTCTCATTCTATAAGGATCCATCTATTGTGGCCCTGATCAGAACAGTTGGTAGTAGTAGCTGGGCACCACCTAGTTCTTCTGGTCTCAGGGTAGATGAAGACTGGTAAAAATTTTTTTTTTTTCCAGTTCAACTTTTTATAGGTGTACAACTCATTGACAGCAATTACAATCATCAGCTGTGCAACCCTACCCTTAATCAATGTGACATTTCCATCACCATTAGCCCCCTTTTCCCCCTCTCTCCCACTGCTGATAACCACTAATAAACTTTGTTCTCTATACATTTGTCTAATTTTTTTATATAAGTGAAGTTATACAATGTTTGTCCTTTTGTGATTGGCTTATTTTGCTCAGCACAATGTCTTCAAGCTCCATCCATACTGTAGCATGTATCAAGACTTCATTTTTCCTACTGGCTGAACAGTATTCCATTGTATGTATGTACCACATTTTGTTTATCTATTCATCTGTCAATGGGCATTTAGGTTATTTTTCTACCTTTTGGCTATTGTGAATAGTGCTGCAGTGAATATGGGTGTACAAGTCTGTTTGAGTCTCTGTTTTTAAGTCTTTTGGGTATATACCTGGGAGTGGAATTGCTGGGTCATACGGTAGTTCTATTTTTAGTTTTTTTAGGAACTGCCACACAGTTCTCCACAATGGCTATACCATTTTGCATTCCCACCAGCAATGGATAAAGATTCCGGTTTCCTCATATCCTTGCTAACATTTGTTGATTTCTGTTTTTTTAAATCTTAGCCATCCTAATAAAAAAAACAAAAAGCCAAACTCCTTGCCGATTGGGAGTGAAGTGGTATCTCATTGTGGTTTCGATTTGCATCTCTCTGATGGCTAATGATACTGAGCATCTTTTCATTTGTTTGGTGACCATTTGAATGTCCTCTTGGGTGAAATGTCTGTTCATGTCCTTTGCCCATTTTATGATTGGGTTATGGATCTGCTACTTTTAAAGTCAGTCTCGCTTTTTTTGCCTCATCCCTCCTGTACTGGTTTCTCACGTATATACTTGATGTGCTTAGTAAACATCTGTTAGGTACTTCCTGGGCACAGAGCTTTGTGGGAGCTATAAAGACATGTTGGACAAGAACCCTCCTTGAAGCAGCTGAAAATCCAGTTAGGGGATAAGAGGCTCAGGGCCAAGCAGAGGGAAGCTCCTGGGCTTTGGGGGATCAGGCTAGCCTGGGGTCAGCTCCCAACTCCACTACTCTGAGGCCTCAAGTAAAACTCTGCCTTATCAGCCTTGGTTTTCTCATCTCAAAAATGGAGTGAAAAGGCAGTATAATCCAAAGTTCTAGATGAGTGGTGGGTGAACCATCATTTCTTGGGCTGGGCATTCCGGGAAGGCTGCCTGTGGGAGGAGTGACTGGATCTAGAAGTAGGCAGGGTCTGGTCAGTCAGAGATGGGGATTAGGACAGTCCAGTCTATGAGCATGGAAGGGAACATTCCAGTTGGAGGGAGCTGGGGGCAGTGCTGGCACCAGCCAGGCTGGGGAGCGAGGTCAACTGGCTCATCCATATTTCTCAGGCACCTCTGTGGGGCACAGCTGTGTCAGGCAGGGATCAGAGGTAGTGAATTGGGACAGGTGGGTTGGTGCTGGATTGTACAGGACCTTGAACACCAGGCTAAGATGTTTGGGCTTCATCCTTGAGGCGCTGGGCAGTCATGGGCTTTGGGGACAGGATTGTGACCTATTGAAGATGAGTCTGATGCTGGAAGGGGAGAGGCTGGAGCAGAGGCCAGTTAGGAGGGTAGTGATGGGGACCAGGCAGGGCAGCACAGGAAGCAGGACTGGGTCTCAATCTCTGGCTGGTGGGGAGGCCAGTGAGAGGGTGGGACGGAGCCTGCTGTCAGAGCCAGGGATGCCTGCTTGCACCCATACAGGGTCTTCTCAGCATCTCCTTTCACCATGCCTCACTAGCGTAGACTGCTGTTTCTTGCCCAGGTGCTGGCAGCAGCTCCGGGTACCAGAAATAGCCAGCACTCTGGCCTGGCTCTGATGCTGACCTGCTGCGTGACCTTGGGCAAGTCACTGTCCCTCTCGAGTATCTGTTTCCCCCTCTGCGAAATGAGGGACCCGGAGACAACCCCCAGCTCCCCTCCCACCTGGGGCATTTAGCCTGAAGGAGGCGTCCCAGCTCTACGGCTGATGCTTTCTTCCATCCTGAGCAGGTGTGGTTTGGCCACTAGAGAGGGGAGGGTGCCAGACCCACCTAACCTGCTGGGTCTAGCATGAGGTTGATGGCTCTGAGTGTACCTGGCATTGGGCAGGGACAAGTGGCTTTGGAGGGGTGGGGGCTGAGGACTCCCCGTGCCTCCTGTGGGCCTGCAGTTGATGATTTTGGGTTGGGGGGTGGTGTGGAAGCAGTGGTCTTCCCCAAAGTCCAATTTAGGTGTTTCTTTCTTGACAAAGCTCAGAATTGCTGCCTTTCTCCCTCCCTCTGTCCCCACCTCTCCTGGCTGCAGAGTCACGTGGAGCCATCCTTTTTCTGGCCTTGAGCTGTGGCTGTGGCTGTGGCTGTGGCAGAGCCTCCGTCAGCCCTGCCTTGGCCAGAGTCTGATTGTCAGTCTTGCCTTTTCCAGCCTTGGGGACCTCCTAGGCCTGCCTTCTTTCTTCCCCTGACCTTGCCCCCACCTCACCCCTCATGTAACATAGAGGGCGCTTGAGATGCCTGCCCTTATTTTTCGGAGAGTATTGGGTTTGTGGCAGAAGACAGCTGGTTAGGCTGAGCTGGCCTGCTCTTTTCCAGCATCTGCTCCTGGGGAGAGCCTGGCTGCGAGCACCTTCTTCCAGCCCTTCCATTGTGAGTGGAAGGCCTGCACAGTGTTGATTCAGGGGGGAAAGCTGCTTGGCCCCTCACCCCAACTCACAAGGTGGTGTCTGAGGTCTGAGTCAGGGAGCCCCCTCCTGGCCGGGCCTCTGGCTCTGGGGCCTCCATGAGGCTGGGGAGGAGGCTGGGACCCCTGAGCTCTCCCAGACTTTGTGTCCCTGTCCTGTTCCTCCAGGTCGACACTACCCCTAAAGCAAGAAGAATATGAGGTGAGTGACACCTGCCGGGCTGGGGAAGGCCAAGGTAGGGGGAGAATGTGGTGGGGGCCAGCAGCAGGGCTGGGGCTGGGTGGAGAAGCCCCCTGAGCCCCTTGGTCCCCTGCCCCCGGCAGGCCTTCCTGCTCAAGCTGGTGCAGAACCTGTTTGCTGAGGGCAATGACCTGTTCCGGGAGAAGGACCACAAGCAGGCCCTGGTGCAGTACATGGAGGGGCTGAACGTGGCCGACTACGCCGCCTCCGACCAGGTGGCCCTGCCCCGGGAGCTGCTGTGCAAGCTGCATGTCAACAGGGCTGCCTGCTACTTCACCATGGTGAGCCCGGCGCCCCGTGGCCACCCACTTGCCCAGTGACCTGGGCCCAGGCCCCATGAGCCTGTGGGCCCAGGGTCGCCTCCCTAACCTCCTTCTGTCCGGATGTCTTCTCAGTACTCCGAGGCTCTCTGCTGCACAGCAGACTTACCTGGAGAACTTTTTAAAAGGACTGATGGAGAATAAAGAGTTTTAAAAAATGGTGCTGATGCCCAAGCCCTCCCCTGATGAATTGAGTGAGGGTCGTGGGTGGACCCTGGCATGGGGCAGTCTGCGGGCAGTCAGGGCTGAGAACTGCTACCCTTGTGTCTACTGTCCTTTCTGCAAACCCCTGACTGCTCTTCCCTCCTGGCCTCTTGCACCTCCCACCCCACACCCTCAGTGTCTCTTCACTTCTTTCTCTCCAAGCCTCCAGCTTCTCCTCCGCTTCTTAAACCCCCAGCGTCCCCTCCTTCCCTGTCCCACTCACACAGGGACCCAGTCATTCATCAGACCCTGAGTGAGGCACTGTTGTAGGCTCTGGGTAGGGGTCCAGTACCACCTCTGCCATCCAGGATGGAATGTTCTGGATAAATGAGTCTACCAGGTGCCTGAGAGCTTAGCCCTTCCCACTCTGGTCTGTGCACTGAGCTGCCTTCATGATTCCACTGCCTTTTAGTCCATGATGTTCTGAACCAAAGGCCAATACAGAACTAGGTGTGTCTGAGCAACCAGGCTCATCACGAAGGCCGCTCTCTCCAGTGCATCCCTTTTACCCAGAAACACAGATGCCCTTGATCCGGAGTCTGACTCCTGCGCTGTTTCCCTGCGCTGTTTCCCACCTCCTCCCCTGGGCTCTGAGCCCCATCCCTGACCCCAGCATCCTCTGTCTGCAGGGAAGGGAGGCTGGTGGCCAGTCCTAGGTGGAGGCAGGAGGCCTGGGAGAGGGAGGGGTCACAGGTGCTGACTGGTGGCTGCTTGATCCTCTCTGGCAGGGCCTGTATGAGAAGTCGCTGGAGGACAGTGAGAAGGCGCTGGGCTTGGACAGCGAGAACATCCGAGCGCTGTTCCGTAAGGCGCGCGCGCTTAACGAGCTGGGCCGCCACAAGGAGGCCTACGAGTGCAGCAGCCGGTGCTCCCTGGCCCTGCCCCACGTGAGTGCTGCTCTGGCCCTCCTCTACTCACATCCGTGCTGGGCCGGGCTCTGAGTCCAGGCTCCGGGCCCTCTGCTCTGGCCCTCACTTGGGCCAAGCCACCACGCCTTTCTAAGCCCCCGAGTCCCCCTCTGTGACATGCAGTTGCAGATACCTATTTTAATACCAGCTCTGACTGTGTGCCTGGCCTTGCTAAACTGGCTTTGTGTGTTTCACCTTACTTAATCTTGCAGCAACTCTGTGAGGTGGCTGCTATTATTTGGTCCATTTTAAAGATGAGGAGAGTGAGACACAAGGAGAAAATAACTTACCACAGCTAGGAGGTGGCAGAGCCAAGATGTGAATCCAGGCTGTCTGATTCCAGAGCCGTACACATCACCCCTGCACTCTGAGAGGACAGGCCTGCAGTGAGGAGTAAAGGGGGTGACCTGTGTGCCCGGGACCTGATGTGGGGCTGTCACTGGGTGGGGAAGAGACAGTGGGAAATGACCAGTAGAGAGCCTTACTTGTCCCCGGCCTGCCCACAGCTGGGCACATGCCCCCTTCCCGCTTATTCATCCACTTAACAAGAATGTACTTAGTGCCCACACTTGCGCCCTCAGGGACCCACAGTCCCCTGAACTTGTACAGATGGAGGGACCCCAGGGTCTAGGCCTGGCTCCACAGCTGACCCTATCTGTTACCCTGGGCAAAGCTCTTCCCCTCTCTCCAAATCAGCTCCACATCTGCAAAATGCTGCTCCAGCTTCATCCCTGAAGTCATAGGAGTGAAAGGGCTGTGAGAAGGAGTCCTTACTCTCTGTGACATTTCAGTCTCCCACGGTGTACTGTTGTTGGTTGTCATCGGGTCGATTCCGACTCACAGCGACCCCATGTGTGCAGAGTAGAACAGCTGCATAGGGTTTTCAAGGCTGTGATCTTTCAGAAGCAGATTGCCAGGCCTGTCTTCCAAGGCACCTCTGAGTATGTTTGAACTACCAACCTTTCAGCTAGTAGTTGAGGGCTTAACCTTTTGCACCACCAGTTGAATTTTAGAAATAAAAAGATAGTGTTAAAATCAAAACCCAAAAACTATTCCTCCCCACCAGAATAAATAAATAAATAAAGCAAAAGCATAGTTCTTGTCCCAGCCGCACCAGGCACTGGCTGTGTGGCTTGCCAGTGTCACCTCCAGGGCCTGGCTTCCTCATCTGTGACATGGGGCTGGCAGTGGTACCCCACACAGGGCCGCACAGGGATTCTGGGAGTGCTGACCCAGCCCAGTCTGCCTGTGTCTTGCCTTCCCCAGGATGAAAGCGTGACTCAGCTTGGTCAGGAGCTGGCTCAGAAGCTAGGGCTGCGAGTTCGGAAGGCGTATAAGAGGCCTCAGGTAGGTGGCTCTGGGCCTGGGGGCAGATTAGGGGTGGGTACCGTTGGGAGAGGTGGGTGGAGGGTGACTAGGGCCTGGCCAGGATGAGGGGAGGGATGACAGGTGACCCTTCCCATCCTGCTTTGTTGGCTGGAAGCCCTGGAATGACTTTGAGAACCTTTGGAATAGGAAAGAACAGCCAGAGCTTCCAGCTCACCTTAGACACCAGCTGTTAAAGCTGCTCCCTCCGCGGCCCTGCCCGACTCTGACAGACCTGGTGGAGATGCCTGACACTGGTTTCATTGACACTGGTGTCCTTCAGCCTTATGTTCTCAGATGACCCCTGTGTGATGCGTATTTGAAATGCCAGTATCTTGTTGGTTTGTTCAGATCAACATGTATTCGTTTAGCACCTACCGTGTGCCAGGAAGCTGCATGTAGGAAAGGGTGTGACTCAAAAGTCTGCTGCGACCTTGAGCAAGTTATTCACCCATCAGCACCTTGGTTTCCTCATCTGGAAAATGGGGCAGTTACGCCCATCTCCAAGGGCTGACGGGAGATTTAAATGAGAGGCTGTTTGAGATTCCACCTATTGCCCTGCCTGGCACACAGTAGGGGCGCTTCGATGGAGGCTGTCTGCCTGCGCCACACAGATGGAGGAGGAGAACACCCAGATCACACCTGGCACCTGCACTTGGGGGCGGGACCCAGAGAGCAGGATAGATGGCTCCGGCTGGCCTGGGGCAGGGAATCTGGAGGGCATGGTGTACCCCAACTGCCTGTGACGGGCCCTCTGCTGCCCTGGCTGGTGGGACCTGAGCATCCTTCCAGAATCTTCATCTCATCCTGCTTCTCTTCGATTTTTGGCAGGAACTAGAAACCTTTTCTCCACTCAGTAATGGCATGGCAACTGGCATGGCAGATCAGGTAGGATGGGGGCCAGGACCCCAAGCCCCTTCCCCACCCCCACTACCAACCTGTTATCCATCACGAGGGCTCTGGATTCACTCTCTGGGTGTAAATGACAACCGGCGGTGGGTCCAGGGGCATCAGGCTGAGGGTTGGGCTCCATGCTGTCCTCGTCCCATTGCTGTGAACCAGCCATGTGTCTTGGGAACAGGGGGTGACTGGCGGCCTGGACTGGGCTCCGGACTCATAGCTCTGGGACCCACAGCTCCCCCACCTCCCCAAGAAGTGGCTCCTGTGACTGTAGTAGCAAGTATGGGATGGGCCGTGGCTGCTGTGGCAGAAGTGGTGGCTTCGCTCGCAGGCCCCCAGCCAGGACGAGGCCTGGGCAGTCTGGTCCCAGTTGCCTCTTTCTCCTTCTTACCCTACCCTTCCTGCCCTATCTCAGAGGCCTTTCTGTAAGTCCGTGCCTCCGGGCCCCACTCATGCCTCACTCTGCCTCGAATGTCTCCCCCACCCCACCCCGCCTTTTCTCTCCTTTTCATTGTTGGAGGTCCAGTGGAAGTACCCTCCTCACTGAGGCCTTTCCTGCACCCCTGCCCCGTCACTCCCCTCCCCTGTGGTGTGCTGCACAGAGGTGGGAGGGGAGAGCTCAGACTTTGGACTGTGACAGATAAGGGCCAACTTGACCAGGTGCTGGCTGTGTGGCCTCGGGCAGGTCCTTTGTCTCTGAGCCTCAGCTTCTGAATCCTTGAAATGGGGGTGTTCTGTCCTTCAGCCAGGGTAAAGGAGGAAGCACTCTGTCACCTGAGAATAGGGACCTCGTCAGGGCTGCGATGGACGGTAACTGCTGATAGCTGCAGTGATTACCTCCCCACCCCCAAGGCCATGGCCCTTGTACTGCCCACTCAGGCCTGGCTCATCCTGGGGGTCACAGCAGGCTCAGCACACACATTAGACTCCTCACTCACCGCATGGGACCTGCTCACGTGGACTTTGAGGAACTCTGGAAAGTGAGGGACAAGCCATAAGATCCCTGATGGAGCCTGGTGGCCAGCTGCCTTGTTGTACGTAAGGGAGACTGAGGCACAAGGTGGAGAGGAGATTTGGCCGGTGCCACACAGCAAGGTTGCTGCAGGCCTCCTTCCTCCAGATGCTTTCCAGCACTTTCATTTGTTCACTCAGCAAACTCCCACCAGGCTGACCCTGGTGGAGCATGCCAGGCCTGGTGCAGCCCTAACCCTGGGCACCAGTGCCCCTGAGCCTTCATCTCCTCCCTTTCACGGGGGCCATTTCTTGTGTTGAAGGTCTAAAAATCATGATGGAAAGTGCAAGCCATTGGGCAGGTGAAGTGGCTCTGAGTGCTGTATGTGGCTCCACCTTGTGCCTCAGTCTCCCCTTATGTACAACGAGGCAGCCGGCCACCAGGCTCCATCAGCTTTCCCACCTGTCAGCCTGACCCGCCCTTCCCTCCTCTCCACAGGGAACTTCCAATGGATTGGGGTCCATCGATGACATTGAAACAGGTAGTGTCCCTGGTGCAAGGGGACGGGGGAGCTGGAGCCCAAGGGAGGTCTCAGCCCCTCGCCCCAAGACCCCTGGGAGGTCAGGCACATCAAGCCCCTAGCGCCAGACCTGTAGATGGAGGCTTCTGAGGGGCGCCCTAGGGACTCCCTGAGGCATGAAAGAAAATGAGGGGCTGAGGAGCAACAGCTGCCCTCAGGGAGGGAAGAGCAGTTCTCTAGGCCAGCCTTTGTCTCCGCTTGACTGGGAAGTCCACCTCTCTCAGCATCTTCTCTTCTCACTGGCTTATAGGAAGGGGCACATTTTTAAAGTGTCCCTTGGAGAGAGTGTTGCTTACCCCAGAGGTAGGAGGCAACAATCATGGATGTTCTGGCCCTGAGCCAGCCCCTTGGGGAGCTAGTGGAAGGCTAAGGGACCCTCTCCTGTTCTGGGGCTGCCGTCCTTGACTGCGGCTGAGTGTCCGGCAACGGGTAGGGCTAGGGGCAGGCAGGATACCTGGCAGGAGCTGGGGGGAAGAGAGAAGATGTTGGAAGAGGACCCCAGGGTCCTGGGATACCTCCCCCTTCCACCAAGCAGGACCCTCTGCAACTGCTGAGCCCACTCCCCCCCTCCACAGACTGCTACATGGACCTGCGAGGTTCTCCGGCCCCCCTGCCCTCCAGCCCCACGATGCCCCTGTTCCCCCATGTTCTGGACCTGCTTGCCCCCCTGGACAGCGGCAGCAGGGCCCTCCCCAGCACCGAGAGCCTGGATGACTTCTCTGATGGGGACGTCTTTGGTCCGGAGCTGGACACCCTCCTGGACTCACTGGTGAGTGTGCCGCTGCCCTTCTCCTTCTCCCCTGGGCTCCCCCCAAACCAGACTCCGTCATATTCCTCCTCATATTCACGAGGGGTTGCCGTGTCACAACTAGGGAAACTGAGGCCTAGGAAGGGGACACAATCATGAAGCTGCAGAGTGTTCAACCAGATGGATTGTGAAGGCCCCTGACTTCACCTCACTGGACGGGCCTGGGGCTGAGGGCCGGAGCCCAGAGTTCCCGATTTTGCGTTCCCCTCTGACCCCTCCTCTCTGTCCCCCCCCCAGTCTCTGGTCCAGAGTGGCCTGCCTGGTAGCGGCCTGCCCAGTGAGTTGCCCCAGCTGATACCCGTGTTCCCCGGTGGGACCCCACTGCTGCCACCTGTCGTGGGCGGCTCTGTGCCCGTCTCCAGCCCACTGCCCCCTGCCTCCTTCGGCCTCGTCATGGACTCCTCCAAGAAGCTGGCCGCCTCCATGCTGGATGCCCTCGACCCTCCAGGCTCTGCTCTGGACTCCCTGGACCTACTGCCATACTCTGAGACGCGGCTGGACGCCCTCGACAGCTTCGGGTCAACCCGCAGCTCCCTGGACAAGCCCGACTCTTTCTCCTTGGGTGAGGCCTGGGAAGCAGGCCTCCACCTCCCGTGACAGTTTGCAAAGTGCTGTCAGATCAACAGTCTCTGGGGGTTTCCCTTGGGAGGTGGAGGCGCTCCTGGTTTGCAGACGAGGGTGCTAAGGTTCAGAGAGGGCAAGTAACTCACCTGATGTCATTTAGTCCCTGACTGTGGAATTGGGACGGCCACCCTGGCTGCCTCTGCCAAGCTGGGGCCAGGACCACGTCTGTGCACTCCTGTGCCTCCTGCAGCTCAGCACTGGCAGTGGGGGCCGAGCCTGAGAGTGGGGCATCTTGTGCAAGATCAGATGGAGCCGAGCTGGGTCATCCAGGATGCCAGAGCTCCCGGCTGGCAAGGCTGGGACCCCCACAAGGATGATCATGAGGCATGGGGAGGGCATGAGGCCTTGTGCTCCCAGCACCACTTGGCCTGGGTGCCAAGGACCCAAAGAGGAAGCAGACCCATGTGGGCCTCGATGAACTCGCTGTGGGATAGTCAGACATACTTAGAGCACTCAGCTGAGAGAGGGATCCCTGGGCTGCGGGAGCCCAGAGCAGGCCTCCCCAGCTCAGGATCAAGGCTTCCTGGAGGAGGTGATGGCTGAGAGGGATCTTGAAGGAGGGACCCCCGTTTGCCAGGCAGAGGGAACTGTGTGAGCAGAGAGTGGACTAGCATAGCAGTTGGCCAGAGGGGCAGGAGGGTGGCGGCTTTGCAAAGCATGAGGCTGACCTTGGAGGACCTGTAAGCCAAGCCAAGGAGCTTGGGCTTCATCTTGAGGGCAGTGGGAGGTGGAAGGTTTTAAGCAAGGAGTGGCCATGCTCAGACTCAGGCTTGTCTGTCCCAGGGCAGTGGCCATTGGGGTAGAGAGGGGATAATTGGGATGGGCCTGAGTAGGGCAGGCTGGGTGGCCTCGGGTGGCTTCTCTGAATTGGAAACACGTAAGGAAAAGCCCTGGGATGGTCCCTTGCGCCCTCCAGAGCCAGGCAGGTGACCCCTGTTGTTCTCCCTGCCCAGAGGAGACCAACGCACAGGACCATCGTCCCCCAAGTGGTACTCAGAAACCAGCCCCCTCGGTGAGTGACTTGGGTGGGATCTGTGACTAGGCCCCTCATGCCCTCCTGGGGGTCGGGGGAGAGTGGTTATGGGTTCCAGGATGTGGGGGTGAGCCCTCTGCATGGGTGGGTTAGGAAGGGTCATAGAGTGCCCCCTGGTGCCCCAGGCCGGCTTTGGTGGGCCCAGCCACCCTCCAGTACCCAACATGGCCGACCTCCTCCTCTCACAGCCAGAGCCCTCCATGCCCAACACTGCCCTGCTCGTCAAGAACCCCTTGGCTGCCACCCATGAGTTCAAGCAGGCCTGCCAGCTCTGCTATCCCAAGACAGGTAAGGTCATGCTTTCAGGTGCCACACCCTCTGCCCAAGAGATACCGAGAATCACAAGAGTTTAGAATTCCAGAAAGAGAATCCTAGTGTACTCGCCAGAGGTTAGTGCAGCAAAACAGAAACCACCCCAGGTACTGTGAGCAGAAAGGATGCAGTATGAGAGTTAGACATCTTCAAAACTGTTGGAAAGGCTGGAGAAGCAGAAGCCAGGAGGCTCCATTGGGCCTTGAGGCCACCTCCCCACCAGCCGAAGACCAGAAGTCAGGCTATGCTGCCCTCACACTGAGATCAGGAAGCTGCAGGAAACTGCTGGCTGCATCAAGGTGGCCCTACGGCCCACAGGCTGGGAGCTCACAGTGGCGTGCAGAGTCCATTTGGCTACTGCAAAAACACAACTGCTGAAGCCAGATGAAAAGCAGCCTGTGCTGCTCTCACATGAGGGCATCTCACTGGGTGAGCTTAAGCCTTACCCAGAACCCAGGCAGCAAAGGAGTCTGGGAAATGTAGTTCTTGGCTTCCAGGTCCTGGGAGTCAGGGTGACGAGAAGCACTTCAGAATGGAGGCCCAGAGCCAATAATCAATATTCAACACATCTGTTGTTATTAGGTGCCGTTGAGTTGGTTCTGACTCATAGTTACCCTGTGTACAACAGAATGAAACACTGCCCAGTCCTGCACCATCCTTACAATCGTTGCTATGTTTGAGCCCATTGTTGGAGCCACTGTATCAGTCCATCTCATCAAGGGTCTTCCTCTTTTTTGCTCACCCTCTACTTTACCAAGCATGATGTCCTTCTCCAGGGACTGTTCCCTCCTGATAACATTTCCTAAGTAAGTGAGACGAAGTCTCGCCATCCTTGCTTCCAAGAACATTCTGGCTGTATTTCTTCCAAGACAAATTTGTATGTTCTTTTGGCAGTCCATGGTGTATTCAGTATTCTTCACCGATACCATAATTCAAAGCCATCAATTCTTCTTTGGTCTTTTCCTTATTTATTGTGTAGTTTTCACATGCATACGAGGTGATTGAAAATACTATGACTTGGGTCAGGTGTGCTTTAGTCCTCAAAGTGACGTCTTTGCTTTTTAACACTTTAAAGAGGTCTTTTGCAGAAGATTTGCTCAAGGCAGTACATCATTTGATTTCTTGACTGCTGCTTCCATGGGTGTTGATTGTGGATCTAAGTAAAATGAAATCCTTCACAAGTTCAGTCTTTTCTCTGTTTATCATAATGTTGCTTATTAGTCCAGTTGTGAGGATTTTTGTTTTCTTTATGTTGAGGTGCAGTCCATACTGAAGGCTGTAGTCTTCGATCTTATCAGTTCTCTTTGCTTTCAACAAGCAAGGTTGTATCATCTTCATATCACATGTTGTTAATGAATCTTCCACCAATCCTGATGCCATGTTCTTCTTCATACAGTCGAGCTTCTCAGATTATTTGCTCAGTGTTATGGATTGAATTGTGTCCCCCAAAAATGTCTGTCAACTTGGCTAGGCCATGATTCCCAGTATTGTGTGATTGCCCACCATTTTGTCATCTAATGTGATTTTCCTGTGTGTTGTAAGTCTTACCTCTATGATGTTAATGAGGCTAGATTAAAGGCAGTTATGTTAATGAGGGGAGGACTCAATCTACAAGATTAGGTTGTGTTTTAAGTCAATCTCTTTTGCGATATAAAAGAGAGAAGCAAGCAGAGAGATGGGGTACCTCATACCACCAAGAAAGTAGTGCCAGGAGCAGAGTGCGTCCTTTGGAACTGGGATCCCTGCGCTGAGAAGGTCCCAGACCGGGAAAAGATTGATGACAAGGACCTTCCACCAGAGCTGACAGAGAAAGCCTTCCCTTAGAGCTGCCGCCCTGAATTCAGACTTCTAGCCTACTAGACAGTGAGAGAATAAACTTCTGTTTGTTGAAGCTGTCCACTTCTGGTATTTCTGTTATAGCAGCACTAGGTAACTAAGACACTCAACATACAGACTGAATAAGTATGGTGAAAGGATACCACCCTGACGCACACTTTTCCTGATTTTAAACCACACAACATCCCGTTGTTCTGTTTGAACGACTGCCTCTTGACCTGTGTACAGGTTCTGCAAGCATAATTAAGTGTTATGGAATTCCCATTCTTCGCAATGGTACCCATAATTTGTTATGATCTATGTAGTTAAATGCCTTTGCATAGTCAGTAAAACACAGGTAAACATCTTTCCGTTATTCTCTGCTTTCAGCCAGGATCCATCTGACATCAGCAATAATACCCCTTGTTCCACGTCGTCTTCTGAATCCAGCTTGAATTTCTGGGATTTTCCCGTCTTTTTGAATGATCTTCAGCAAAATTTTACTTACAGGTCATATTAATGATATCTTTTGATAATTTCCGTATTCTGTTGAATCACCTTTCTTTGGAAGGGGCACAAATGTGTATCTCTTCCAGTCTGTTGGCCAGGCAGCTGTCTTCCAAATTTCTTGGCATAGACAAGAGAGCACCGCCACTGCTGCATCTGTTTGTTGAAACATCTCAATTGGTATTCTATAAATTCCTGGAACCTGGTTTTTCACCAATGCCTTCAGTGCAGCTTGGACTTTTTCCTTCAGTACCATCGGTTCTTGATCATATGCTACCTTCTGAAATGGTTAGACATCGACCAATTCTTTTTGGTACAGTGACTCTTTATATTCCTTCCATCTTCTTTTGATGCTTCCTGTGTCATTCAACATTTTGCCCATAGAAACCTTCAGAATTGCAACTTGAGGCTTGAGTTTTTTCTTCAGTTCTTTCAGCTTGAGAAATGCCAAGCGTGTTCTTCCCTTTTGGGTTTCTATCTCCAGGTTATTGTACATTTCATTATAATATTTTAATTTTCTTTTCAAGCTACCCTTTGAAATCTTCTGTACAGCTTTTTTACTTCATCATTTCTTCCATTCGTTTTAGCTACTTGACGTTCAAGAGCATGTTTCAGAGTCTTTTCTGGCATACATTTTGATCTTTTCTTTCTTTCCTGTCTTTTTAATGACCTTTTGCTTTAGACTCTCAGAATTCTAGACTCTTAGACTCATGGCGTTCCATTTATCAGAATCCCACAGCCCTAACATTTTAGAATGATTTTCTCCTGGCATCCCAGTTAATCTTAACCCCAGTTAATTTTTAACTGCTAAATTAAAACTTTTAGCAGTCTGGAATTGATAATGTCGGGGGTATCTGCGTTGACAGGAGCTTAGAGGTCATCTTGTTGCTATTGTCCACCCCTACAGGAACCCCCCGCCCCCGCACACACGTTTCATTGCTCAGACCCCAGACCCGCTGGGGCATGGGACAGTCAGTAGACTTGTTGGAGGGCTCTGTCCCTGAGGAATTCCTTCCTTGAGTGGAACTCAAACCCGCCTCCCCATTCTGAGTGTCCCCACTCCCTTGCTCCTGCGGGGCTGACGAAGGCCCTGTTAGTTGATGCATACCTGGCAATGGCCAAGCCAACGTCACCTCGGTTCGCTACGGGCTATTTCTTCTTGGTTTCTGAGACGTACAAGGTCCTCCCCAACCCTTGCCCATTGTCCAGGGAGAGGAGGCCCTTGGTCAGAAGATTTGAGAGGACTAGAGAAGGGAAAGGAGTGGGAGAGGGAGCATGAATGCAGACATGCCATCCTGGGGCAGGAAAGGGAAGGGGATACTTACAGGGGCTGCTCGCAGCCATGTGCTATCTTCACAGTTCTCTGGAGAAACACTCAGATGGTTTAGGCTCACTAGAGTCAGTGGTGATAGAAAGGGGGGGATGCTGTAATGGGGCTCCTTGGAGGGGGCCTCCCCTCAACACAGGCCCACAGCCTCCCAGGCACATACAGCAGAGGAGGGTGTGGCAGGGCTGGTGGGAGGCCCAGGTGAGGGGAAGTGGGTTTTCTGGCTGGCATGGGGGCTGATTCCCCCCAGCTGCTTCGGCCAGCCAGCTATGATGCTTCACTTCTGTTTCTGGAATCACATCCCTGTCCACCCTCGCCCACAGGCCCCAGGGCAGGAGACTACACCTACCGTGAGGGCCTTGAGCACAAGTGCAAGCGGGACATCCTACTTGGCCGGCTCCAGAGTGCTGAGGACCAGACCTGGAAACGCATCCGGCCCCGGCCCACCAAGACCAGCTTTGTGGGCTCCTACTACCTGTGCAAAGGTGGGTGGGCAGTGGCAGGGGTGGAGGGGCTACCCGCCCCTCTGCTCCCCATCACAGCCTCTGAGGGAGACAGGGTAGGTGGTCTGCAGCCCGCTTGGTACTCTGGGTGTACCACACAGCCTCTGAGGGAGACAGAGCAGGTGGTCCTTAGCCTGCTTGGGGCTCTGGGGGTGCCTCACAGCCTCTGAGGGAGACAGAGCAGATGGTCCT